GGATGTATACTGATAATTTTTTTTTTTTTGGCTAGGCAATGGAGTTAAGTGACTTGCCCAGGGTCACACAACTAGTGTCAAGTGTCTGAGGCCGGATTTGAACTCAGTTTCTCCTGACTCCAGGGCTTTTGCTCCATCCACTAACCACCTAGCTGCCCTCCTGTATACTAATAATTTACCAGATTTAAGGATCATGGATTAACAAACTCAGAATGGAATTGGCAGTTTTTACTCTGCTGACCTCAAAGAAAGAATTATTTATTAGATTTTCATCTTCCAGATATTTTCCTGCCTTGGTAACTTTTACATTTGACTAAAGTCCAGAATACCTTCCAGGGCTTGAATTCTCCTTTCTTATAATAGAGCAAAATGTAGTAAAATGTACAATGTTTTGGAGTCAGAAGACCTGTGTTCAATTTCTAACTTGTAAGAATTTTGTCATCATATCTTGTGAATATTATAATCACATCTTGCTTACTATAAGTTCTGTGTTTACTCCAGTCAATCTACATTAGTTCAGCTATGTGACTGTGCAAGGCAGTTAACCTCTCTAATAGTCCTTATTTTTAAAATGAGAATAATGATACCTGTATTATCTACCTCTAGTGGTTGCAAATTCAAAGAATCTCAGAGTTAGTAGGGATCTCAGAATTCATTTAATTCAACCCTTCTTGGTTCACAAATCCCCTCTGATGAGTGATCATCTAACCTCTGTTTAAGGGATACCAGTAACAATCTCTTACCCCTGAGGCAGTACTTTGGACAGCTCCAAAGGTTAGGAAAGGTTTTCTTAATATTGTGCTAGAATAGTTCTCATTGCAACTTCTATGTGTTGTTTCTACTTTGGCCCTCCAGTGAGAATGGGGTGATAGCTGGGGGAGGGTGAGTGGCAGAAGGAGGCAAAAAACCGTCTTTAATTCCTCTTGCATGTGAGGGCCCTTCATACTGATGACATCTATGCTGTCCCTCCTCCATAAATCTCTTCTCCAAGCAAAACATCCCCAGGTCCTTTACGTTACCCTTGTATGCTTCAATTTCAGTGTCTCATTATCCTAGTTACCTACCTCCAGACAAGGAATATTAAGTGACATAATATATGTAAAGTGATATTTAAGCCATTATATGATCATGATCATCATTTTCTAATCTTTACCTTCTTAATAACACTTACTAAGTCTATGTCACATCTTTCAGCATTTGATTATATATATTATTCTATATGGGTCTTTTGAGCAAGGCATAATTAATGGTTAGAAAGGTGGTCTCAGAGTCAGGATGACATGTGTTAAAGTATTGATTCTGACATATATAGACCATGTGAATGAGCATTTAATTTCTCAGCGCTCCTAAGCAACTCCCTAAAATTATAACTTATAGAAGAGCTGTTAATGTACGTTGGTTGAAGCACTTTCCTCACTCTCAACACAAGTGAAATCACAGGACTATGAAAAGTTGCTGTTTGGTGCATAAGTATTACCAAACCAAATTTGGTTGTAAACTCTCTAAGGTCAGGGACCATGTCTAAGTTCCTTTAGCACCTTGGACAATGCAGGACATATAACAGGCACTATATGAAATGGAGTGAACTTCAATTTGCACAAAGCATCTTCTTAAACACCTTTATCCTGAATTTCATTGAGATATGACACAATAGTCATTTAAAAATAGTTGTAAGAACATTTTAAACAAATAGAAAACAAAAGGATTAATTTTTAAAACATTTTAAACAGTTCATTTTAAGGACACATTTCAGTAATAAGTCAAGCACTTTCTGGACACATATTTGGCATGCATTGGGGGCTCTTTGTGGATTAAAGGTGCAATTAAAAATTAAACTGAAAATATTTATAATTGTGATGAAGAAATTCATTTTTCCAATGCAACAATAACTCAAACATTTTGACTTATGGTTCTCTGTTCATAATTTTATCTTGTGCATATTTCATTTTGGAGACTACTTTTAGAATCTACCATGTAATTATCCATATATATATACATATGTGCATCATGAAAAATACACACTGAACATTATTAAGCCCCAAGTGATCTCATAAGAAGTGACAACAAATAAATCTCTAGCACAAGTAAATGGTCATATTCAATCCTTGGCCATTAGTATGGAGTTGGAGTATTCCATATTAAACCAGGAAACAGAAACATTAGAATGACCATATCCAATCCTCCTACACATGCTTTTTATATACATTTCTGAGCTTAAGAATATGAGCATAGCAATGAGTGTTTAATTACTATTGCTATTTTGGCACTTAGTTATATAGGGCTTCTAAAGTTTATAAATGAATATATGCAATTATAATATCTTTAGAATTTAGGTATTTGCATCAGTCTAGTCTTATTAGAATTAATATACATATGAGCACAGTGATGATAATCTGGGCATTTTAGTTAAATAAAATATTCTGGGGAAATACTGTATATCATGTTACATTCACAATATAGCTCACTAATAAAAATGCATGGTTCAGTTTTCTTTTCCACCCACCTATTTCATCTGAATTGTTAAAAAATTTTCCTTTAAGAAGCAGTTTAGGCCAATCCCTTACCCAACTCTCAAGAAAATCTTAGATTAATAAAATACATTTCTTATAATAAAATACTTTTTTGGTGTCTCATTAATAGGAATGGCCCAGGCAAATGTCTATTTTTCTTCTAAAGCTCTCAATAGAGTAGGGATTTTTAAAACATCATTTTAATCTATTTTTTTCTTTCCATGTTCTTTTTTCCATGTCAATTATTCTTACTTTTAGCCTCATAATTTAAATCAATGTTTTAAACAAAACTCTGCCATATAGCTTGGTAAAATGATATTGCCTCCCCTCCCCCCAGCCTTTCATCAAATCTGTTCCCAAATCTTCAGTCCCCACTCAATCTGTCCCTTATCAACCCCTGATCCCTTTATTCTCTCAGGAATAGCCCCTCTGATACAAGGCAATTCAGTAAAATAAATAGGTTCTTTAGCTTCATCAAGAAATTGCCATCCATGTATCTGAGAACTTCTAGTAGCCTATAGTATAGTCTCCCAGCTCTTTAAGATCTAAAACTTGATTTTTTAAAAAAAGTGGCCAACTGAAAGTTAGTTATTCTCTACCAATCTACACCTCCTTTAAACATCAGAGATATAGAGAAAGTGATCTAGAACTTTCTCCTAAATACCCTTCCTCTTGAATAGCACCAACTTGGAAATCAAGATTGGTGTTCAAGAGTTTCCCATGGCAATATGGCTTAAGTAAACAAAGATGTACCCTATCTAGAAGTTAATAATTGGATGTTCCTATAGAATCACTAAGAAAATCATGTATAAATTGCCCATTAATAAATACCAATGCCCCAGTGGATCCATTATCTTTCTGATATGGATATTACCTTCAACTATCCAGATTTGATAGAGATGTTCAAGAAAGAAGAACATTAATAAAACAATAAAGATAGATTACCATAAGAAAAATGATTCAAATCACTAATAGAGAAATTCAAATTAAAACAACCTTGAGGTTTCATATAACACATAGCAAAAATTGGCAAAGATGACAAAAGACATAGTTAATATTGCAAGGGTTCTGGAAAGACAGGCAAACAAATGTATTATCACTGGAGTTGTGAATTAGTATAACTATTTTGGAAGGCAATTTAGAATTCTTCAAATAAAGTGGCCCAAGTGCCCATGCCTTCTTACCCAGAGATTCCACTGGTAGGCAATACTTCAAGGAGATTACAAACAAAAAGAAAGCTCTATACACAAAAATATCTTTGGATCACTTTTTGCGGTGGTAAGGAAATGGAAATAAAGTAGATGCCCATGGATTGAGGACTGGATAGACAAACTGTGGCAAGTGAATGTAATGGAATATTACTGTGCTAGAGATGAATCCAGAGAACCGTGGAAAGACTTACATGAACTGATGCAAAATGAAGTAAGCAGATCCAAGAAAACAATATATACAATGGCTCCAATAATTTAAATAAAAATAACAACCACTACAAAACAAATGAAAATGAATGTTGCAAAATTACAAAGAACAAAGTTACCCTAAAAAAAGATATGAGAAGGTACTCCTCTTACTCTTTTGCTGAGGATAAGGTTGGGGTTACAGGGCTAGGGAAGACTGTATATAATGTCAAGTTTTTGTTTTTGTATTTTTTCATTGTATTGATTGGTTTTACTCATTTTTTTCTTTTCCTCTTTTTCATAAAAATAATTTCTTACAAGGAATTGCTCTCTGGGAAGGGGAAAGAGGAAAAATACAGGGGGAAATTTAAGTGATACAAAAATAAAAGCTATCAAAATTAATTTTAAAATAAATTCAAGCAATAAATAATAATGAATTTGACTACTAACTGACTACTAGAAAAGATAAGCCAAAGAAAAGAAATAATTAAGTTACTTTGAGAGCAATTTCTAAAATGATTTCTCATAGTTCATTTAGGAATTTCTGTATCAATCAAGGAAGTATATTTCACAAAAAATTCATCAAATAGTCACATGAAATGCTATTATATAGTCATTACTTAATTAACCATAGGTGAATTTATATGCCTTGTTAATTATGGCTACAAAGTAAATTTAAATTGTCCTCCCTTTACCCCCTAGCATTTCTTTCCCAGTCTTTGTAACTGTATACTTAAGGAATGTAACACAATTAAATATTAGCCTGAACAAAACAGTTAGGAAGGTAATTATGCTTTAGTTGAAAAAAATCACAAAGTGCATTCAGATTATGTGGTACTTTAGATCACTGAACCATTCTTTTACTCAGCTTCTACTAAGAAATGTCAGTTTATAATAAAAACTCATAATTTGATTTAAATTAATAAAGTTTCATTGTTTATGCTTCAATATCACCTTCATAATGTTATTCATCCTCTTTGAGAATGGAAGACAAACAACAACTACTTCTACTATTATGCACGGTCTCTCTCCATTATGATCAATAGGTTAAAAAAACATGTTTTCAAAAGCTAAAATTGACATAAATACTTACCAATAGAAAACTGAAGGACAGAAGCTGTTGTTGTATTAAGGACAGCAGTGGTCTAGAGAAAGGAACATATAAAGATTAGAGATAAATAGAAAAGGACACAGAGAAAGAGAAGGAAAAAAATGAGTGACAGAGAAAAAGAATTCTCTTATCATCTGTTTCTTTTCTTTTTTTCTTGTAAACTTGTTTATGGCCAGGCCTAGGAAGATAGAGCTATTCCATGTTACCCTGGGAGAAACATAGCTAACACTGTATTCAGGAACAATAGCAAATTTTTCAGGTCTCTTATTGCCTGTGTTGGGGCTAGTGAAACTTACTGGATAGCAAAGGGGAATGATGCAAAAATGAACATATATAGAAAATTATGTCAATGAACACAGACTGAATATTGGGGCATAGGATGAATATTTTTATGTTTTAAAAAAAACCTAGACATGTACTCAAAACATCTTTAGTTCTCTCCGATTTCATGAAAGAATAGCTAACACCATCCCATATTGATGAGATGCTATGTTGTTTCAAAAGGCTTGCAGAGGTTATTGCATAATTTTTAATGTCTGAAAATTTTCAGAGTGCTATTAAATTTTGGGGCACCCTGTATGTAACTTAAGTTCTTCTAATAATAATAAAAACAGGTCATAAACTGTATATGACAATAGTCAATAGACCACAAGTGGCTAACATGACCCAGAACTCTTCTTTGAGAAGAGTTATGTCATCATAATTTGCTTAAAATTATCAATATTTTGATTATTAATGTAACTATGTGAATACTGCAAATGGTAGAAAAATTGCTACAATTCATTCTTTCCATACAATCCATGCCAGTCTAATTCAAACATAAGATATTTTATAGTAAATGCTTGGTCTTAAAGCATAAAGAGGATCATTGCTAACAGAAAAGCCATAGATGTTCAGGAATTCTGATGATTTCTATACCATGTGAGTGTGTTACCTTCCCCTACTAATGTCTTGTGTGATGCCTCATCATGGTGGGGTGCTGATCCTGGTTTTTGGAGGTTCTGCCAGTAGAGCATAAGCTCTGACAGTTCCTTCTATGGTGGGGAGGAATCAGGAATTGGACAGTTATCTGAAGACAGGCCCAGCTACACTGGGAAAGAAAGGCTCATTGCTTGGTGGCCTAACAGATTAAGTGCTAGACTAGGAGTCAGGATGACTCAAATTCAAATCTTTCCTCAAAAGCTTACTGGTTTATGACCCTGAGAATTTTACTTAAACTCCCTCAAGCCTCTCAGTTTCCTTATCTGTACAATGGGGAAAATAGCAGCTACCTCTCAGGGTCATTTGTGATGGGAAATGGGTTAACATATGAAGTATTTTGTAAAACACAAAGCACCATATAAATACTAGCTGTTGTGAGATTGGTCACTGGGTGATGAATTTGTTTTTCAGCTGTGTGGCTCACCATCTAACTAAGCAAAAAGAGGTTGCAATCTTTGTGGGTAAAGGAAGGATATACACCAAGGAAAACATGACTCTCTGAGTGTACTGAAGAATATGTGAAGTAAATGTACACAGCAGCTTTTCCTCCTATTCCTTAAAGCTGAAAAGGTATAAGAAAATTTTTTGAAAAATATTTGAAATATAAGTTCTTCGAAGTAAAGATAAATGCAAAGTGTGATTATTATTTTTGTGTAATTAAATACCATGGAAGTTTATAGGAGGATCACTTGGGTAATATCAACAAAGGCAAAAAAAAAAGAGCACAGAGGTTCACAAACACATGTAGCGTTGTGTTGCTCAGGATTCCAACTCCTCAGCAGTCACCCCTACTTATGAAGTCACACTGCTGACTCCTAAATTATATGTACACAGCATGGCGAGCAGGATACCACAGATAATCAAAGACTGATGACTACTGATTGGTCAACACCTTTTTTTTTATACTAGTGTGACTAAGGAGCTGTGAGATAATTTATTTTCCTTTCACTTCTCGTTTCTCATTTAGCATTCTGAAATAATTATCAAAAGAGAGAATTAGGGGAAATGAAGAAAAAAATATCAGAAACAAGGGGCATGCTTAACCCATGAACTATATAATTTGTATTCAGATAATCAATTCCATTTGAAATTAGCAATTATAAATGTTCATCTTTACCTAAAATATCAATATAATTTTACCCTGAAAAACTAGTAGTTCTTTAATTCTGACAACATGGCCACTAAAGGGCCTCTTAAAAGGGATTTTGATCAATATTATATATGAGCTAAGAACAATTTACATGGAAGTCTTTGCTACAAAATGCCTGAGCTTTAATAACCCGAATAGACTGAAGCATGCAAAACATGAAGATTTATAGCTGTCTGAATCTGAAGAATTTATTGCTCATGGTCAGGCCATTAACCCTTGGAGAAGTGTAAGTAGAAAGATGTTTGTACCCTACTCAATGTCATTTTTCATAGTCTTTTGTTCCGCAGCCCCATTTTTTTTGGGTGTGAGTCTTCCATAGCCTGAATTCATCTACACAGTAGAATAAATTTCCCAAAGTATCAGAAGATCTCTTGATAAATAGTGTTTTGATTCACAACCAACTCCTGCAGGTCACTTCTCTCCACATGTTAAGAGTAAATAGATTAAAGAGTAAAATGATTTTTCTTTATTTTATACTACAAAAAAGGACAAAAGCACAAGGTAGCAAAGTGCTATTGTGTCTGTCCTAAATATGTAAGGATGTCACTTCATAGGAAGCAGATCCTGGCTCTGGACTTATTAACATCTCAGGTCACACTTCAATTTTCTCATACGTAAAATGAGGGAATTGGAGCAGAATGGCCTCTTTATAAAGTCCATTCTAGCTCTAGATATGTGACACCATGCTATGTAAATGTTAAAATGTTATCTTGGCTCTTTACATATGATGGTAGGTAACTGGTCTATGTTTTTTCTACTTCATTGAATGACTGATTGACTTCACTGACCAAAGAAAGCTGCTAGCCTTTGACTCTACAGTTGTTATGTCTGTGGCTAATTGGATGATCACTTTAGTAAGAATTACTACTGTTAAGAATAATGGAATATATGTGTACACACACACACACACACACACACACATATATATATATATATATATATATATATATATATATATATATATATATATATATATATATATATTTATATAGTCAAAATAAGCAATTCTGGCACTTAGTGGACCCATTCTTATCTTGCCCAGTGGTAGCAGGTTCAGATTGCATGGGATATTTCTGATACTCATGAGTACATTCACCCAAAGTTTCCCCAAATAAATCGTCTTCATTGAATATAGTTAAAACAACCATTTTTGAAAGTAGTAAAACAGAATCTATTCTATATGATGGCAACGTAGTGGCTTTTGTGGATTTTTCAGTTTTTACCCATTGGTTTAGTCATCATGTAAGCTTAACATGAAAGGATAAAATTTAGATGTTAGGAATGCAGTATTCAGCTATGAAACCAAAACAGTAGCATCCATTAACAAAAACAAGAAAATGGCAGAGATTCCTAGGAGTAAGTAAACATAAAGGTTTCCCTCTATATTTTCATCTACATGAATTCCAGGAATAGATTTAGAACTTCAGTCACAGTACTGCAGGCTTGAATCCAATCTTACTGGGAAAAAATATGGCTAAGGAAAAGGGAATATTTGCTGCCTAGAATATAAGCATGATTCTTAAACAGTCTGTAATATTTCACTCTGGTTCAAATGATGTAAAAGCTTCCTAGGAAAATTCCTAGGATAAGAATATGATTCTATCTATATTTTCTCACCTTTGGAAACATTCCTTAAAAATGTCATGGACTTAAACCAGAAAATTATTTTTAAGCATTCCTTTTTCATTAAGTGTTTAATCAACCCTACTGATAATATTATACAAATCAAAAAGGTTGATTAGGCAAGCTAATCCTAATAGAAAAATAGGATAGTCGTAAAAACAAATAGCTTAAGTCTTATGTTAGGTGATTATGAGTTTAAGGGCTCTTTTTGGAGTAATGTTTTATTTCCTGTTGGCTGATGGAAAAGTACAATTTGACAAGCATTTCCGAAAGTACTACTGAATCTAAGTCACTCACAACAGGAAATGATTCTCTGTTCAAATTGTCTTCCATGGAAGGATTGACTTTTTTTTCTAAAAAATTATAAATAATTTAGTTTTTAGTGGGAAAAATTAAGAGTGATGTACACTACTTTAAAAAATGCTAGCAAAACTTTGATTTGGGGGCTTCTTTAAGGAGGGCTGCAGTCCCAGAGTCACATCCATCTTTGGGAATAATACAGAACCTTCCCAGACTTGAGTTATGAGCACCTATTATTTTAATTTGCATCCAATTAATTCTGTTGTATGAGCTCCAATTTCAACAAGAAACTCCTCAATTTATCAATGTTTTGAGGCTCCTCTCTTCAATAAATTAAATGTATCTATTGCCATGAAAGAGGTACTCATGCAGTATGAAAAAGAACTATGTTACATAAAATTAATTGGCTATCACTTCTTGATAACTAAATCTTCTTTTAATTGCTACAGCATTTTTCTTTCTTTAAAAAAAACCCACAGGACACAGTCTTTTAGGAACCTGTTAAATTAATGATGTTGAAATAGAATGTGCGGGCCTGCAGTGGTAAAAAGGAAGAAAAACAACAAAATATCCTCAAAACCTGCTACAAAAGACAACAGAAGAAGAAAGATGTGTGAAACATGAAAAATGAGTATTAAGTAAGAACAAAAGTATATATAGGCAGATTATCATCAAAGAAAAGGAGATAGCAAATAATACAAGCTTGAGTAACCTCAGTTCTATAAAATTGAGCTTCAAGGTCTATAAACTTAAGCAAAGCAACTTAAAAGATAATAATTAACCACATGCTGATGGCTAGTGGTTGTATAAAATCATATAATCTCTCCTTATGATCCAAAATTTTTCATTTTATCTTATAATGGTCAAAATAGCACAACACATTCATTTTCCAGTAGGAAAGTAATATTAGTGCAAGCAAAAGGAAATGAAATTCACCTTTTATGAATTTGAAATAAATCATTTTAAACCAAAAATTTATAAATGAGTTCATTTTTTTAAGTTCATTTTTTTCTTGGCTGTTACAAGTCACAACGGTAACTATCAATAATGATAATATATAGTTATTTATATAACACTTTAAGGGTTTTTAAAGCACTTAACCTACATCATGTGAGCCAAAATTTCAGAACAGTTTGAAAAAGTCATTCATCAAACATGTCTGGTATGCTTAAAGAATTAAATGGAAATTTCAAAGTGAAAAATCTTTCATACAATACTTAGATTAACATATAAACATTTTGGGGAAAAAAACATGCTGAGCCTGAGAATTTTAAAAAATAATTAACTGAAATGTTACTTAGTGATTCAATAACAGTACCATATAAATCAATTTGAGGCTTTGCCACTTTTTTATTTGTAGTTTTTTTTCCTTTTTATCTTTGAAACACCTCCTTCCGCCTCCTTAGAAATAATGTCTAGCTATTAACAATATAAGCAATATTATAACATCTTAGTAAGCTTAAATGGGATAATAAAACCTTTCATTGGTTAAATATACTGAAGACTTACACAAAATAGATTTTTAAAAAGTCTTACACATTTAGAATCATGTCAGCAAGAAACAAGCCCTTACCAGTTCTCTTGGACCATATGGTTCACAGAACGTCACAGAGTTGCCGTGCATAATTACACCACACTGTTCTCCAATCTCACAGTTGTTACATTCAACCCTGCAAGAACATGGAAATTCATTTCAAGTATGAGAGCTAAAGTTGTATGAGGTGACTACCTTAGGAAAGAAAATCCAATGTTTGACAAAGACTAGGTCGCACAAATTTTGGTTATATATTATACCAACAAGAATGGAATTAAACTGAATTGGACCCATTGTTTTAATATTAAATGCCTATGAATAAAAGTGCTAATGATTCAAATTAGTAAATTAATAACTTATTAAGGTTATTAAAATTTCACAGGTAAAATGAGATACCTGATTATCCTTTTTGTAAAAACATGTTTAAAGATGTCTGTAGGCAGCAAAAGTTGACATATACTTCTTATATTTCTTATGTTTGTTTTCAGTTTACTCATACCACTTATTCTTCCTTACATGATGATGTGCTGGGATTTAGAATTCTCAGCTTAAGATGTTTGCTGGTTTGGGTTTTCTATTGTCATGTAGGACATCAGGGAAACTACCTACAGTTCTTGGGGGCAGCTAGGCAGTGCAGTGGATAGAGCACTGGGCCAAGAATCAGGAAGATCTGAGTTCAAATCCAGCCTCAGACACTTACTATGTGACCCTGAGCAAGTCTTTGGAACCTGTTTGCCTCAGTTTCCTCATTGTAAAATGAGCTGGAGAAGGAAATGGCAAACCATTACAGTATCTTTGCCAAGAAAAACCTAAATGGAGTCACAAAGAATTGGACATGAATGAACAACAACTTATATTTCATAATACTATTTTGCATGCTGATCACAGTATTTATAATACTTTTTCCAAAGCATTTCAATGTACCATTTTAAGTATTATATACCCAGCCACTAAGGGGAAAAAGATCTACATTTCTCCTTCTAGCACCTTGTACCTCATGAGAGCTGTATTTCATGTAGAAAGAACATTGTTGAAGACTCTCACATTCCAGGTGCTAAACACTGTGGAAAGGGCACTGTGCCCTTAATTTCAGAGACCTTTGTAGTATGCCCTTTCAGCTATTTGCTTATGTCTGAGACAAGGCAGCAAAAAATTCTGAGACATATTCCTCCTAGCAATCTCAGGAGTAGAGGCAAGAAATATGAACTATAAATAATAGGTAAACAGCAACGGATTCACTGCTACCTGGTGTATTTCATGGAGGAAAAAACCTGTCACAGCCAAGGACAATGAAAAACCAAGACTATCCAAATTTGAACAAACATAGCATAATGTCTTCAGTAGCTATTGAACAGGTTAACTGTATCATTGGATCACAAACCTCCTGTAGGAAATTTTCACTCTTTTAAGAATAAGAATGTGGGGAAAATACATTTTCACTTTTTATTGTTTGTCAGCATGTCTGACTGTTTGTGATCCCATTTGGGGTTTTCTTGGCAGATACTGGAGGAGTTTGCCATTTCCTTCTTCAGCCCATTTTACAGATGAGAAAATGGTGGCAAACAGGATTAAGTGACTTGCCTAGGGTCACACAGCTAGTAACTGTCTGAGGCCAGATTTGAACTCAGGAAAATGAATTTTTCTGCCTCCAGGTCTGACACTCTATTCATTGTGCCACTTACCTGTTCCTGATCTTGGAACTAGGAAGATATATATATGTAGCACAGTTTTTTAAAAGTCTAACTTTAAAGCTCGGGTCTCAACTGCTTTCTGGATTTTGGGGAATTTCTTCTTCCCTGTCTATATAAAGTTCTTCAACATAGACAGCCTACAGTCTTGGGGAAATTACTTTGAGTTTGATATGAGTAGTACAATTTTAATTATGATACCCCCTTTTAAGTAATGCAAGTAGTCTATCTTGAAACTGTGGTTACTGAGTGTAATAAAAGAAAAAGGAAATGCAAAAATCTTCTTGTTACAATGATACCATCAAGATGGTTTAGCATCTATGATACAGTGAAATGACTCCAGGTGGGGAAGCGTAGGCAACAACAAATAGAACACCATAAATATTCAAACAATGAACAGTATGATCTAATGAACACAACGTTGTATTTGAAGTCGGGGACACCTCAGATTGAATTCTGCCTCTAATACTTATCATCTGGGCAGCCACAGTCAGGCCATCTCAGCTCTCTAAGCCTTGGTTTATTTCTCTACAATAGAGGTGTCAATATTGCCGAGTGCCCTCTGAAGCAGATTAAAATATAATTGGGAAATGTTTAACAAAATAACTAAAGATACATATATAAAAGGTTTTATATATCAAGATGCAGCTACAGGCATCTTAATGCATGTTTTAGCAGCCTCCATTTCTATTTCATCCACCATATGAGGATTATCTGTAGTATCTTCTTCATAAGGTTATTGTGCATATCAGAGCATGACACTTACTAGCTGTGTGACCTTGGGCAAATCACTTAACCTCTTTTTGTCTCAGTTTCCTCAACTATAAAATATGGATAACAATAGCACTTACTTCCCTGGGTTGTTGTGAAGGTCAAACAAAAGAAAAGTTATAAAGCACTTAGCTTGGTGCCTGGCACATAATAAGCACTATGTAAATGTTTTATTATTATCATTATTATTATAAGATATATAAAGCTTTCTGTAAGCCTTAGTGTGTGTGCTGATATTTTTTTCATGAGTGTGGGGCATTCTCAGTATCAGAACTTCCTTCACTGACACAGATAGCAACTTTATATTGTAGTGTTACTAAATAAACCCTAGATTTCCTGACACACCCAGGAGTTCCATGACAAACCCAGGGATCGCACAGCTAGTAAGTCTCAGTAAGTCTCAGAGTTGGATCTGAACCAAAGTCTCCCTTATTCCACTCTCAGCACTCCAACCACTACTCTACAAACTAATGCTTAGTACAGTGTCTGGCACATAATAATACTTGCTATATAAATGCTTATTCCCTTTCTCCTTCCCTAAACCATACAGCCTCTTCTCAGGGATGGATGGAGAGAACTGTGAGCTTACTATATGTCTATCTCCAGTTCTATATAGAGAAAGATGGCAGTGGGGAGGGAGGAGAGAAACAAGCACATGTCAAGTAACTACCACATAGTAGTGCTTTACAAATATTATCTCAACAATTGTGAGGTAGCTACTATTATTATCTTCATTTTGCAGTTGAGGAAACTGAGACAAACAAGTTAACTGACATGCTGCCTCACCCAGGATTCCTTGATATTACAAGTTTGTGAACCTCTAGTTTGATATTTGAAAATTACTTGCGCTTTTCATCTCTGCTCTTCATAAAACTGTACTTTAAAATGATTTTACTGATCATGGTATAACCTTCTCAATAACTGCTACACCCAGAGATTTTGCTAATGAAGAATTTCTATTAGCAATGAACGGGAAGTTTGATTGTGGCAGCTGGAAGGGGCCAAATCGATAGAGTGTTGGGATCTCTGAACCCAAGAAGACTAAAGTTCAAGCCTCCTCTTTAGCATAAAATGAGTAGACTTGTGTCCAACAAAAATAGTATCCACTACAATGGAGGCTGGCTAGCATAGAAACCAAATGGCAAAGATAGTCCCTATGAATAGCGAGGTCCTCCTGATGCTCCTATTTGGTGAAGACATTGAGCTGAATGGACAAAGTCCTAGAACGCTGCAGTTTCCTAAATGGGATTCATAATTGCTCAAAGAGTTTGATCTAAGTAGTGGCAAGAAAAATAAGTAAAGAATGCTTATTTTCTAGATTATGCTAGAGACTTGTATAGAAAACATTGCACAATATATCTGTGCTTATGGGTAGTTATACACACAACACACATACATACATACATATATACACACACACACACACACACACACACACACACACACACATATACACGCATATGTGTGTCTTGGAAAAACATTACAAATAGATAGTATGATGGTCTCAGAGCTGAACAGGAGGAGAATGGGCTGGGCTGTCTTTGGGAAATTGTTAAATGTGTTTAATGACTCGGAATTTCTTTCTGAAGTAAATATCCATCTTTTTAGCAACAATCTTCTACTGGTGATGATTGATGCCTATGACTTATGGAACATCAAAACATTGAAGGTGAGGGTCACCCAAAGGACAAAGAATAAGCATATATTATCTATGAGCAGGTTGTAGTACAGTACAAGTGAATAAATGTGCAGAAGTGTTGAAATGGCATTATCAGAGAGATGCATTGCTAGAAAAAATCTGGGTCATTCATATAGTGAGAGTGAGGGATAACCTTTGGCTACTCATTCACTCTGTTAATATCTACACAATGTCAAGTGACCCACAAGAAATCCCCCACCATGTTATATAATTCCCATTGTGAGATGCACAAGGTAGGCAGCCATGGATGTGTTATGACCTCCATCACTGGTAGGAGTACTAATATTGATAAGATCCTAAATCCACTGAAGTATTAAAATAATACTATTACATATCTCTTTTCAAAGATGGAGCATCAGTCTATTAATCAATAAGCACTTTTAAAGCACCTACTATGTGCCAGGCACTTTGCCAGCTACTGAGGATACAAAGACAAAAAAAAATCAACCTGAAATATTTCCTGCTCTCAACAGGCTTATATTCTACCAGGAGAATAAACATGTACACATGTAAATCTAGAGAGAATATATGTAGAATGAATACAAAATAAATGTAAGGTTCTTAAATTTTGAGCTCATTCTCTCCTGGGTGAAGTGAATCATATTCATATAGGCCTTGCTGTAAACTAAGCAGGAAAACACCACCATTTTGAAGCAAAATGGTTCTCCTTAGGAAAGAAAATAAATGGTTTGGTAGCTTTTGTTCCATCCCCATTCACTACTTTCCCATATTTCTCTTCTCTTCTGTGACTTAAACTCCTTAAGAAGGCCTTCTTCAATAGATGTCTCCACTTTTCTGCTCACTCTCTTAAGTCTTTGTAGTTTGCCTTCTGTCCTCATGATTCAACCAAAATTACTCTCTCCAAACTTACTAATAATCTTTCAATTGCCAAACCTAGTGGCTTTTCCCCAGTCCTCATTCTTCTTGACCTCTTTGAGCCCTGGACACTGTTGATCACCCTCCTCTCCTTGGTACTCT